CAGCCCTGGGCTCATCGAGGCGTATGAGATGAACTCCAAGGCCATGTCCGACGTGGATGGTGAAGAGCATAGAATTCAAGGACAACTGCTAGTTGCCCTCGAGCTCACACCACTGGTGCCCATCCGGCGGGGTACAGCCATCGATATTAGCGTTCGTTCGCCTCCGACTGAGAAATCGAAGATCAATTGGAGCAACAATATCATGTTCCGTTCTCGGAATGCAGACGAGTGCGAGGCGCTGTACGGTCTCATAAATCAGGCACGTATCAACAACCCAACCTACATTGCTTTGCAAAACGCACGTGGCCCATTTGCGAACCAGCCCGTTCCTATGGAACGTTCAACGAAGACTGGAAGGTGGTTCGGGTGGCCCCAGCGCAGAAAGAGCTACCGCGCGTCGAATTCGCCTCGATCGCTAGCCGACCACTCTGAGAGCAGTGTTGGGACCATGAGTAGCGCGTTCTCAGCATTGAAGAAATTTGGAACCGGAAGCAAGATGTTCAATCTCTCGCGCTCGTCAATCACTTCCCGGAGTGCAAGGGAGGATAGCCAGCACTCAAGCTCTGCCGGCTCTGGTTCGCATCATTCATCTTCCGGCATCGGCAGAATAGCCGCTGCCATGAAGGGCGCGGATGGAATCGGCCTGTCCAACGCCAAGATTCGGCTGTACGTGCGCGAGACTCAATCGAAGTGGCGTGATATGGGCGCAGCCAGACTCACAATCATGCCCGCTCGCTCCGCACCTCGACGTCCAGGCACATCTAGCAGTAGACGCAGTGATAACAGCGTCGGCGCCGACGAAGGTAGCCCGCCAACCTCTGGATCCATCTCGCCTCGGCAGGCCACCGAACCGGAGAAGCGCATCGTCGTTCGTGGCAAAACACGTGGTGAAGTACTGCTCGATGTTTGCTTGGGTGAAAGCGCTTTCGAGCGTGTCGCAAGGACCGGTATTGCGGTGTCTATCCCAGAGGCTAATGACGGAGCCCTGCCAAAAGAAGGTGGTGTCATAGGCAAATTTTCAAAGATATATATGATTCAGATGAAGAGTGAAGCTGAGGCAGCATACACGTTTGGACTTGTTGGAAAGCTTAGATATTAGGATGTTGATGTTTGAGGGCATCGGATTTCTTCATTTCACCATATCAGAGATCAGATGCTTTGTTATAATACTTTTAAGGCTCTATTCTCTACTTTGTTTTGCTTGAGGATTCTTTTTATTGCGCATACCATACCCCCTTCAGTTTATTTTTCTTTGCTGGATCGCTATTCCATTTGCACGTGTGATACACGAGATGAACCCAGGCAACGATTTCATAGAGATCGTGACTAATGGATATATCAACGTGATATAATTATATTTGTAATCATGTAACCTCGAACCAATGCAAATGCTCTCTATACTTCTCTCTATGCCGCATACTGTATAGCTCTAATCTCCTAATCTACGACCACCGGCGAGGAGGGCCTCTTCCCTTTTGCCTCTGCAGTACTGGACTTTTTGAAAATGAACGAGACTCTGTTATCCTCGTCTTTGAGTAAGGGAAGAAGGACGTCGTCGTCATCAAGCGCAGCCTGCAGATCGCATACTGTTTCATCCGTCGCCACGGACATCAAACCAGGGTCTATATGCACGTAATGGGAGAGCGATTGTTGTATCCGGCTTTGTTTGGCTGGTTCGTCGCCCGCGATGTCGTTTCCTCGTTTGCCCTTGTGGGTTCGGCTTCGGCGACCATCACGCAGATGCGAATGAATCCGCCGCTCTTGTTCTTCCATATTGAGCTGGGAGGCTTTGATGAGTGTGGGAATGTCGGGAAATTCAGAATCCGTGTCCGAGAGGTCGCTGGACGGCGAGTCCTCAGCATCCGTGGCTGGGATGCTGGTGTCGTCGCTCGGTGGACCGGCCATCTGCCCTAGTCCGCCGCAGTCGCAGCCCAGAAGCTCATGCGTCTGACAGCGGCTCGCCTCGTCGAGTCGGAAGAGATCCTTTAGCTCGTCCCTTGAGAACTGGGCCACACTGTTTTTGTGTTCCATGACGCTGTCTGCCAGTCCGATCTTGGTTACCTGGCGTTGCCAGATTTTCTCCTCCAGGCTTCCCTTGAGCAAGACGCGGTAGATCCGGCAGTGTCTCTTTTGACCGTCGCGATGGATCCGCGCCATGGCTTGTACGTCGGTTGCTGGGTTCCAGTCCACGTCAAAGAGGACAAGGCGGCTTGCGCCTATCAAATTCAGTCCGGTGCCTCCTGCTTTTGCGGAGAGGAGAAACGCGAAACAGAGATTTGGGGGTAGACGATTGAAATCTTCTACGAGAGCCTGCCTTTTCTGCGCTGGCGTTGAGCCATCTAGTCTCAGGAACGGCAGAGAGAGCGAGGTGAGCAGGTTTGCAAGCAAATTCAGCGTCGAGGTGTAGTTCGAGACAAGAACGATCTTCTCCGATGTTGATGTGCGTAGGTTATGGAGTAACTGATCGAGTACACGTATTTTTGCGCTGCACGAAGGGGAGAAGTGACGTAGAAGATTCGGAGGCAGGGACGATAGAAGCGCTGTGATGGTCTCGCTGGGTTTGTCGTCCCCAGTCTTAGGTGACAGCAGCGAAGGGCTGTTGCAGAGCTTTTTGAGGATGGTAATGAGCTGCAGGGCGTTTTCTGAATTGCCAATGGCACACTGGAACACTGGAGAGGCGAGCACATTTCTGTAGATATTGGCCTGTGTGGAGGTCGGGTTGCAGAATAAGACGTATTCTGTTTTCGGTGGCAGATATTTCGCCAGGATGTCGGCCGTCCTGCGTAGCATGAACTTGGCAGTGAGCTCTCGCAGTTCTTCATTCCTAGCTTCGCCTTTCTCAATCTCCTTCTTGGTTGCCTCCGGCTGCCTGCTCTTCACGATAGGCCCCTCAAATTCTCTGACAAAGGCCTTGAAGTTCCCTAAAATACCTGGATTTACCAGATCCACTGCCGCAAAGAATTCCTTCAGGTCATTCTGGATTGGCGTGCCAGAAAGAATGATTCTTTTTGTGGCGTTCAGTGACTGGATAGCTTGGCCGCTCTTATTCTGGAGCGTCTTCAGCCTGTGGCCCTCGTCGGCGATAATAATGTCGACTCCAGTACCTCTTGCTAGACCTTCTTGAACGGTTCTAAGCTTCTCGTAACCCACTATCATGACACTATAGGCCCTGCCCTTAGTGAAATCGGTCAAACGCTTCCTTTTATCATCGAAGACGAATACACCGATACGCTCGTTACCCAGCCATTTCCGAAACTCCTTCCTCCAGTTGTTGATCAGAGTCACCGGGCAAACGATGAGAGCTTTCTTGATCACTGGAGGGCTTTCGTGGATCGGATTCTGTTTCAGCAGAGTCCAGAGCAGCGTAATCGTTTGCAAAGTCTTCCCGAGGCCCATGTCATCTGCAAGTATAGCGCCTTCTCCATTGAACGATCGCATACCCATGACGCACTCGTAAAGAAACTGGACGCCCTCGCGTTGGTGCGGCCGCAAGTGTTTGGAGAGAATTGGATCGACAACAACGTCAACAATTTGTTTCCCCTTGGGCACTGAATCTGGTCGCTTCATGACCAGCGCTCCGGGTTGGTTCGGGTCATGGCGTGGAACCGGCTTCCCAACAGGCCCCACGGGAACGACGGTGCTTTCTAGTAGCGGCCTCTTGTATGCATTGGATATAGAACTGGATCTAGATGCCGGATTTGGTAGAGGCAAGCTGCCTGTTTTCCCACCCTGGCTCTTCTGACTTGAAGTTGTCGGAAGCGAGGTACTGCTCCGGCTCCCAAGTAACGGCATGAACGTTTTCTTCAGCGGTGCCGGTGCGGCAGCGAGGCTAGTGGTGTCCTTTCTCTCGAGAAATGGCCTTCCGGCTAGGTACTCCTTCCTAGGTATCTCGGAATCGATCTCAACTTCCTTGCCTCCTATCGACAGTACGATTCCTGCTTCAAGTCGGGATCCATGCATCACCCGTCCCATATCCTTTCCCGATATGTCCTGTAGGTAGAGATACCCATCACGGGTAGAGATGATACCGTCCCCGTCCCACGTCTTGTTCTTCTTCGTGGACGGTTTTCGCCTATCGCAGGTGTCGGGTTAGCTTGATCATCGCTTAAGTAGTGCCCGGATAGTTACCATAGCACGTTGTAGTATCTGTCCCCACAAGGATCATCACCAGTCGTGCTCTCGCTGGATGAGCTACCAGCATTGATGACTTGCTGGAGAGGCTTGCGGCTCGGCGTGTATGATCGGCCTAGCGAATCACCAAGCGTAGTGATTTCTGGGTCCAGACGCTGCTTCTTGGCTGGGGGTTCGCGATGTTCGGGGGCACCGCTTGCCGCGGGTGCATCAGAGACGGGCGGGTTGGGCTGTTTCCTGATTAAGGGAGGTTTGAATGGCTTGAAGACCATAGTGAAATGGTCGCGAAGCTCGTTGCCCAGTTCTCAATCGGCGTGCTGGAGGGTGGATTATGAGGTTTCTCGCGAAGCGCGAGACACGAGACGGAGCGCGTGGTCACGTGTACGCTCTTGTATATCCATATCGGGAGATATTGGACCATCTATCGACTTCGGTCGATGTTCCCCGCTGTACAAGAGAATTCGCTGTAAACTATTGTGTTAGTCGCCTCCTGTATGCGTGGTAGCCTGCTTTGTGTATTTTAAGGTCGTGTGTTGTCCGATGTGTAGGTAACTGGAGGGCAAGATGGGGAATAGTATGGCAGCTCTGAAGCAAGATGCAGTGAATATATATCTTCAGTCACTCCGAACATCCATAGGGGACGGACAACAACAACCGAAAAAATCCATGGATATTAAAGCTCAGTACGACAGTAACCAGCTTGCATTTTAATATTCCTGAGAACTCAAGTTCAAGGAAACCAGATGACTACATGTGGTAAAGAAACATCGCGGCAACCGAACACAGCCAATGACTCGTCGCAGGTTGGATGCTGGTAGTTTTATGCTCTGTCTTATGTATCCATAAATCCAAGCGCATTCTCAACACAAGAGCGCTTGTTGTAGTAGTTGGTTATCACGTATCGTTAACACCGATAAGGTCACCGGATCGAGCCCGGCACTGGTCTGACTTTTTGCACCCTCTGGTGCAGTATCGCAGCTGCCCTAGGCCCCTCTTCTGAGATCCTTTAAACTTCGTGCAATAGTTTCGGCTTCGTCCTGCCGTCGCCAGGGAAAGTGGTGAAATTTGTCTCGGTACGGGTGATAGCAATATCTGCATCCCTCCCAAAGGCAGCTAGCTTTCTTTCGGGCCCCATTAACCGAAATAAATTACTCTGGCAGCGCCAAAGGGCTACTCTTATATGTGAGATTTTATATTCAGTGTCAGGCTTACAGTTCCAATGTTAGTAAACATATCGGTAAAGGCGGGGGGTTGGTATCACGGGGAGGAGGACAACATTGGGTTCAGGGCCAAGGACACTGGGTGCCCGTTCCCTTGGTTGGGTTTCAGGCACACCAGCCCAAGCCAATAGCATTCTGTCTCTTGCCGCTTGCTGCAGTGCTTCGTGTCCACGATGAGGCTAAGACTTCAAGGCTAGGGACAAGTTCTCTTATGTCTTTCTTCCCCCCAGCTTTTGTTTCTTGTCTTCGAGGCCTTTCAGACTTGTTTTGTCGTTCAAAATCTTACCTGGCTAGTTTAACGCGTCGATCGTATTTGACTGATATCGGGAGATATTGAACCGTTTAGGCATACTTCTGAGTTATATCATTCTACCGACTTCTTCGACCTGGCCCACGTCTCAGGGCAAAGCAAGTCAAATACTTGTCCAGAAGCTTGCTCCGAACCTGACTGTCGAATTGAAAGAGTGCGATGCTCATACCCTTGGAAATGAAAATGGGTTTTGACCATCTATTACCTTAGTTGAACCGAAATGGACGAGAGAGAAACTGGAACCGTGAAATGGTTCAATGAGACAAAGGGATTTGGCTTTATAACGCGGGAGAATGGCCAAGATATCTTTGTGCATTTTCAGGCAATCCAGGGACAAGGCTTTAGAACTCTGAGGGAAGGAGAGAAAGTCACCTTTATAGTAGTTCAGGGCCAAAAGGGTTTACAGGCCGATGAGGTGCGGCCCGCAGAGTGATATCTTCAACTGAAGAAGTAAAGGCAATTTTTGGTATTGGTATAAGTAATTTTGTTCTAGTTTCTCGTGGCGGTGTTTGGCAATGATGGTCTGACCCAGGCACGTTATGATCCACGGCCATAGGCGCAGATATGAAAAGGAAACGGAGCGCCTTGTACTCTGAAGCAAGGCTGTGAACTGCTGCCTATCCTGAAGGGCATGACAAGATCACATATATGCTGCTAGAGCACGGAGCTGATGTCAATGTTCAGGGTGGATGTGGATTTTGCTAAATGACTGTACCATGAATATTCCGGATTATTTTTCCCTATCCAGAACTCGTAAAGGCGCGTACATCATGAGTCCTCCAAGTATGCGGCAGCTTAGCCATGGCGGCAGCCGGTGACTAAATAGGTTCGTTTTCCCATATAGCGGTGGTCATCATTGAAATAAGGGCTGATACTGAATTGAATCTGTATCCTATCTCTTTCGTGTAGTGTATGATCCCGTCATCAACATTGAACAGATGTGGTGCCGAAAGTTAATGACGTGGTACGTCTTTACAAGCATGTCTCTTTACAAATTTGGAAATTGACCATGGAAATCTTGACTGAATTGGACGCTAGATTCGAGGACAGAGTCTTGCACTGCCACATATGATTGCTGTCTCATCTATAAGAAAGGGCTTTTATAGTAGTTGGTTATCACGTATCGTTAACACCGATAAGGTTGCCAAATCAAGCCCGGCACTGGTCATTTCAAATTTCCTTTTTTTGCTCTCTACATTTAAGACGCAAAACTTAGCCAGCGACAGGGTGGCGATGTTTTATCCCCTTTCTAACATCTTCCCAAAGAGTGGTGCAGCATACTGCGCTGACTCAAATCGGCCGAGTACTAATGCTGTCGCGCTGTAAACCAAGACCGTAACTACCCGCAGGAGCTGAGTTACTGTATCCTGCTGAGCGAATTAGGCACTAAACTACACAGGTTTAAACAAGTAATGTCTTGACAGATATATTGGATTACTGATATGACCAGAGTCGACAATCATGATCAAACCGAGGACCTGCCCAGGATCGAACCAGCGAGCCAGACTGCAGCGCATGCGCCCAGAACAGATGCTCCAACGAGCCGCTTTTCCCAGGAAGATTCAGCAGCCATGCGTACTGGCACGACATTTCCAGCCTTTGTAGATTGAGTGGATGGAAGTGCATCAGTGTTGTTCTCATGAGGTGGCTCCCTGCGAGATGCAAAGTCCCGGTCACGCTTGCGCCATTTTTCCACCAGTCGAGCAATCTCGACGAGGTCCTCCTTCAGAGAGCCGGGCTCAGTGGCATTCGCATGCTCAACTTCGACATTTTGAACATTACCGAAGAAGTCCACCACTGTTCTCAGGCGCCCCTCCTGCTCTCCGCCGGGAAAGAGGTCCCACCGAACGCCCGGTTGCGAATGAATCTTCGACTCGTCGTACGAGTCGAACAAATCTCCCAGCGTCGCCTTTGAATTGGCACTTGTCACCTGAGTTTCTAGAAATTCCAGCACATAGTATGTCCAACGGTCGATCACCGCAACACCGACATCGTTATCCGCATGATGAGAGTAAGAGGACTGATCCAGCTCACTGGATCCTGTCGCGATAATATTCGGCGAGTAGAAGTGGGTGTACATAGTATTAGCCTGGCAAGTATCAATCATGAATAGCAGCTCATGATAACGCTTCTTCTCCCACATCTGGCCGAACGCATCCGCCAGGTCCCAGGCCCCAATCTCCTCCGAGTCTTGGAACTTTAGGAACTGATCACCTCCGTGTCCGGTCATGTAAACGAGCACATTGCTTCCAGCGTCGGAGCCTAGGCGTTTGCTGCGCGGCACGTCTTCGTCCAGTCGGTCGGTCAAGAGACGGATAAAGTTCTCCACGGTCACCTCGTAGCCTCGGTAGTCTACCTCAATGTTATCTCCGTATAAGTCGACTGCGCGATCGGCATTACTGTAGACCGTCCCTGGAAAAGCGTTTCGAGGATTGCAGGCCATGTCATCGGGAAGCATTAGGATGATTTGCGAATCGGGTATCCCCAACCGCTTGACGGTGCGATATAGCGAGAGTACATTTGCAAGATGGCGGTAGTTGAACCAGAATCGAGACGTGGAAACGAGAACAGCCCAGTTTGAAGTGTGTTCCGTCACTGCCTGTGTCGCGAGAAGAAGGAATAGGAGGGAGAGGACTGGTAGGAGACCAAGAGGACGTGACATGGCGAACAAGTGAGAATCAGGTCATAAGGATTGGGTATATAGGCGAGCAAAGAAAAAGATATTGAAAAAGAGAAAAGCGAAGAGAAAGAGAGATCAGGTCAGATATGCATCTGGAAGAAATAATGAATAGGAAACGAGTGTGCCGTATGTCTTACAATGAGCTGATATGGGACTAATGAATGAAGATGGTGATCTAGCGGGGAGGCGTAGACGGAGTGCCTGAAGATCCGCTGGCTTGGCATCAACGTATCTGAAAGCTGTGTACGGAGAACCATTTTTGAAGTTTGATGCCACTCGCCCAAGGATCGAATAAGAATGCAATCTGCTCTTCTCCTTCCGGATATTGTCCGTCACCCCTGGAATGGTTAATTAAGATATAGATTTTGTAAACTGGCAGAGTCCTGTGACATGGTCTAGAACTTTCAGGATGTCTTGATAAGCCCTCAGAAAAGATAATTCGATTCATTCTTTGCTTCGCCCTGACTCTATTTGAAATGACTCGAGAAAAAAAATGTTTTTTTTGTATTCGAAAAAATAATGGAAATCAACAAGTGCCAATGAGGGAGTAATCAAAGTCAATGCCGCCGGAATCTCCGAAGATAGAACAAAGGAAAAGCGTCTATTCAAATCTATACTACATTCCAGACAATGTGAAATACAATTATGCTGTGAAGACACTGGACCAGAGACAGGAAAGTATATGTCATCTGCCGAGTTTGGCGAGTCTCAAGTGGGCTGCAGCTTTTTTCCTAACGGCAAATGAACAAATCTACCACGCTTCGTATGGAAGATTTGGACATTGACCGGATTCAGACATTTTTGGTTTCGCAGTTAGGCGTCACGTCGTTAATTTATTTGCCAATCTCGACACCACCGGTGGCACCGAGGACACGCTTGATGTCACCATAGATGGCGAACTGACCGGCAGTGATGGAACCAACCATGAAAAGACTAGAGAATGGGCACATCAGCTACTATATCCTGAATTTCAAGAGAGAAAACAGCTAGACTTACCGAGTACCAATACCAGCGTAGCTGCCACGGATACCAAGGTCCTTGGCGATCTTGACGAGACGGGAGACAGTGCTCTCACCAGGAGCGCCCTGAGTCTTGTTGATCACACTGAGCATGGTGTCGGCGGGCTGAGAAACAAGGGCGGCAGCGAAACCGGCAATGAGACCAGAGCCAAGGTTGATACCAGTCTTAGCACCATCGGAAACGCTGTTCTTGTCGACCTTGCGGTAAACAGACTCAACAACCTTCTCGAAGACGACGAACTTGGCCATGGTGTAGGGGATCCTGAAGTTTACCAATTAGAAACCATCAGACGACTCCATTGGTCGAGAGTGCTCGACTTACTGCTTGAAGAGGATAGGACCGAAACCAGAGTAGAAAGCGCCGATACCCTCGTTCTTGAGGATCTTGCCAAAGCCGCTCATGAGACCGCTAGCGAAGGTAGGCTCAGAAACGAGACGAATACGAGTGGCCTCAAGAGGGCAAAGGGCGATATCAGCGAAGAACTCGGCGGCAGCGGAGGAAGCGAGGTAGACAGCGGTTCTGTTGTTGGAAGCAGTCTCGTAACCGAGCTGGTTGATGCACTGCTGCTTGAAGAACTCATAACCACCGAACTTGAAAGCACCCTGAAGGAAGTAACCAGCGGCAGTAGGACCGAAACCAGTGAGGAGAGCGCCAGCACCCTCGTTGGCAATGACCTGTCTGAAGCCACCGATCATACCACGGTTGTAGGTGACAGGGTCAAGTTGGATTCTGGTCTTGACGCTGCATTGAGAAGAGAGATACATCAGTACTCAGTTGATGTACACCGCAAAGCGCGCCGGGAATTTCGGAACTAGGCGCAATCGATGCGATTTGGGGACAGTGAGGCTAAACAGTAGGACCTACACATCGACAGGGGTGAGGGCTCCGTGAGTGACGGAGCAGCAGACAGCACCAGCGAAGGCGAATCTGGAGTAGAGCTGGAAGCTGCTCATCTGAGGGGCGGCAGGAGCCACCTTCTCGACGACAGCGTCGATCTTGGGAGAACCGGTAGTGGGAGCCGCGGCGGACATTGTGAATTATGTGTGGTATCTATGCAGGTCTAAAATCTAAACAAGACAAGGGCAAGAGGAGGATGGAGAAAAGAGATGATGGAGAGTGGGGATGGGGTATAAACGAAAGCAATTGAAGCTTTGCAGAGTTTGGAAAGGGAAAAGGGAAAGAGAAGGAAGGATATGAAACTGAAGGGAAAAGGATTTCACATCGGGGAGACTGGGGAGCACAGACTGGGCACTAGCGGCACCGATCCCGAAAACTTTTCGCGGGCCAATGCGGGCTTCGCTCGGCAGCACGAACACGACTTGCCACCGTTAAATCCGATCGTCCGGCCAACATACAAGACCTTTTAAGTATCAGGAATCCCAGAGGCACAGTCAACAGACATGTTTGAGCTTTCAGTCAGACAATTTAAGATATGTACTCTCTTTGAGATTACTCAATTCTACAGACCATATCGGTCGCATTCACAGAGTAAACAGTAGATCAAGGGAGACAGTCGCTCAACTTGGCGGAATTCCAACAATTACAACAACGTGTGACCTCCCAAGCCCTCGTTTCTTCAAAATTTGACTGGGAACAATAGTGATGTCGTCACTCATCAATAACCAATATATGCTCATCAAAGTGGGTATCTGTCAAGACTGGAAGTTATGATAGTCTCAGTGAAATTCTGTGTGAGCCTGAGGCATGAATTCTTCAAAAATCTTCAGTGACCGCCTTGGTTCACGAATCAGATGCACGGATTTATGCCAGGGCAGCCAAGAGTGAATTCGAGATTCCCTGTCTCCTATTGGCTTAATTTCACTCGGATAAATGCCGTCCAGCCACCCTCAGGCTCAAAGCGGATCAGGCACAAGGGTCTCGGTTCAGGAAGGAAGGGATTTAATTATAATGTGGATGCCTCAGGTATCAACTTACCACATCCAAAAATTGAAACTAGTATCAGGTTGTTCCCCTAATGCCCTTATTCCTCTTCGAAACATCTACTAAATTATAACTTGAAGAGCACAAAAAAGGTACCAGGGAGCTGCCACAACACATGGCCTTCCATTTGTCACAAGTCCACTGGCACAATGCCGAGTTCTGTTTGTTCAATATTGTTGCGCTAAGACTGTTTGACTGATGATGTCTTGAAACTTAGCGGCATTGACAAAATCTGAGTAATTGTCATGACCTATATATAGTTACCTAATATTTCCAACCTCATCATTGATGTCGATGCCGTGTTTTTAAAGAAACTGGGCCGCATAATACCTTCACATAGTCACTCTATCTCCTCATCCGCCTTCTGGTATATAAACATTATATCGCGGGGGTCAACTCGGCTTCGCTTCTCAAGATTTGCTTTTCAATCCCTCCAGACCAGTCAATGTTTTCTTTTCTTTCTAGCTGCCTCCCGAGAAAAAGGAGGGAGACGCAGAGATGGAATGAAATCGAAGGTCTGCCTTCATTTTTCTTCCTTTACGATCTGATCTAACGCCGTATTAGAAGAAGCGAAGCGCCTGGACCAGCTCCCGTCCTGGAATGCTCCAGACAATCTGCTTCTGATGCAAACTTTTGAATGGCATATGCCAGCTGATCAAGCTCACTGGCGCCGTCTACGACATATTCTACCAAGTCTCAAGGAGATCGGTGTCGACAACATATGGATACCCCCAGGGTGCAAGGGAATGGACCCTTCTGGAAATGGCTACGACGTATATGATCTATATGACTTGGGTGAATTCGACCAGAAAGGATCACGAGCCACCAAATGGGGAACCAAGGAGGAGCTCCTGGAGCTCACCACAGCCGCTCGAGATCTCGGTGTTGGTGTTCATTGGGATGCTGTTCTCAATCATAAAGCAGGCGCAGATTTTACAGAACGATTCCTGGCCGTCCAAGTAGACTCGGAAAGTATGTTTCCATTCAGTGGAGAGGTTGGTTAACCAGATATCTGATATACCGCGTTAGGACGAAATATTGAGATTTCGCGCCCAAAGGAGATCGAGGGGTGGGTGGGGTTCGATTTCACTGGTCGCGGCGACCTCTATAGCTCGATGAAATATCGGTGGTACCATTTCAATGGCGTTGACTGGGACGAATCGCAAAAGAAGAACGCTATCTATAAGATTGCAGGGCCGAACAAGGGTTGGGCTAACGATGTCAGCCACGAGTTCGGCAACTACGATTATCTGATGTTCGCAAATCTGGATTACTCTAATGATGAAGTCAGAAGGGATCTTCTCAACTGGGGCGAATGGATAGGCACTCAACTGCCTCTCAGTGGTATGAGGCTAGACGCTGCGAAACACATGTCGGCTGCTTTCCAGAGGGACTTTGTCGATCATGTTCGGAAGACGCTAGGACCTGATTTCTTCGTAATATCGGAATACTGGCGCTGTGATATCAAAGCTCTCCTGGATTTCCTGGAGATGATGGAACACCGAGTTCATCTCTATGATGCGGTATTGGTTGACCGATTCTCGAAAATCTCCCTGACCAGCGAAGCGGACCTGCGGGGAATCCTCGATGGTACACTGGTCCAGAACAAACCTCAGCATGCCATTGTAAGTTCTCCTAGATGTGTTCTGACTGCTGTCCACACTAACCGTCTAGACATTTGTCACGACTCATGACACAGTAAGAAATCAACTTCCATTCTCAGTGTCTTCACATCTATTGACCTAAAGTAAAGCAACCAGGACAAATGTTAGAGGTATGTTTTCATTGTCACGGTCTATGTTGACTGTTCCATCCTGACGGATTGTAAATAGCTGCCGGTCGCATCTTTCTTCAAGCCATTAGCATATGCTCTGATCCTACTACAAAATAGAGGACAACCCTGTGTCTTCTGGGGTGATCTCTACGGGATCAGAGGAGGCAAACATCCAACGAAGCGCTCGTGTGGAGGCAAGCTTCCGATTCTCACAAGAGCCCGTAAGCTCTACGCGTACGGAGAACAGCGGGATTATTTCGACGAGCGGAACTGCATCGGTGCGCACTGCCTCACTTCTGGCCCTCATTTTCGCCGTACTGACGGTCAAATAGGATTTATTCGTTACGGCAACCGGCGACATCCCTCGGGTCTAGCTTGTATCATGAGCAACGCCGGCCCATCGCAGAAGCGCATGTTCGTTGGCCAGCAGCATGCCGGAGAGCGGTGGACGGATATACTCGGGTGGCATTCCGGAACAGTCACCATTGACAGTCGAGGATACGGCATATTTCCCGTATCGAAGGTGAGCGTCAGTGTGTGGGTGAATGCCAGGGCAGAAGGAAGGGAGAGCCTCAATAGTCACTTGTACGTGTCTCCTTTCCACCAGTCGATATTCTTGGAGATTTACTCACAATCTGGCCTACAGTGATACGGATGTCTACAAATATGGACTTTCTCAAAGGTGATAGCTTCCTCAGCTTCAGTCTCCACGACGATTTCGACAGACCACTGGGCTTCCTGTCGATCGTCGATCCGAACACGAGAGCAGAAAGGACATAATGTCATCCAGCATTGGTGAAGCGCCGAGTATGCTCCCAGAACTGTATTAGTAGTGTATAATATTTGAATAGCCAGCATGTGTACCATACATTAACCTCTTTCGCATGTATGAGCCTGGTCTCCATACAGATTAAGATTGGGCGTGTTTCACTCTACTGATGGTAAGGGAATATTGACTTTATATATGAGGTTCATTGGCCTCTATCCTATAGATATTGAAAGTATTCGTTTGTAACAGGCACCAGCGAGGTCATGAATAGCACCAGTTAGCAAACAGTCCTTGTCCTTGACTACAGTGCTCTCTTCTCGTACATCTGATGCGGTTTACCGCCTTTCTGGCCCTCGTTCACTACACTAACAATCCATGGATAATGCTTCCACCATGATGCAACTCTCGTTGCCATGAGCCGAGCCAAGGGCAGATGATACCACGATGACATCGTTGCGAGAGCTGTGCTCTTATATTCATCAATCTTTCTGAGACTGCGTCTATACGCAAGCGGAAAGAGATTCAACAATACATACAAGTCCTATCTGCTCACCATGCCTCATTATCTGGTTCGTACCATCGAGTCCGACATCAAGGCGAATAGGATGACGCTAACTCTTTAAAAACAGGTCAAGTTCCCACCACAGGTGACGGTAGGAAATAAAAAGGAGTACGTTCTCGAATCTACATGAAATACTTGATAGTGACGGGCTCTACGAAGAGGTCTAAACGAGATTGAATCTCACGGTGGCTCTTTTGTGAGAGAGGAGCGGTTCCTCAAGGCATATGTGTAAGATACCGTGTCTACTCTGTACTCTACGTGCAGACTTATAGGGCTATTCTGGCAGGTATGATATTCCAGAGGAGGATCTGGATATGAATAAGTTCCGGACGAGGAATTACATGTTCTCTTTGGAGAGACAGGATTAGACGGAGGGGACCTTGATAGCTACTCCGGTCAGAATAGAATGGTCGATACAGTCAACATGATATCATGATGACTTTCTGGTCTCGATACGTAGGGTTTTATATAAGACGCAGTTGTACTTGCCTTATGCACTTATACCTTGAGAAGAAGATAACTTTAGCGCCCATTTTCCGTGTAGATTACTGCAGGATGCCTCTACATACAGTGAGCTGTCCACGTTGGGTCGAGTGCAGAGTCAGACCATGAGGACTGACATATCCAGCTCGTTCTACAAGACCACATGAGTGAGTCGGATATCGATCGGTGAGCTCTTTCTTGTTCTCGATGTGAATATTTATCTGTATCCCTCCTCACAGATGACTACTTCTGCAGGATGAAATCGCTTATCGAATCCGCTGGGGGTAGAATCACAAAACAAGCCGACAATCACATCAGGTGCGAGACTACATATCGTTTCGTGACAAATTTCTAGAGGGACTTACTAACAGAAAGGATTCCGAGATAGTTTCGAGGTACCTGATCAGTTTGACCTGCATTTGATAACCAAGCATCTGGATGTGGAGACGTTGTCGGATCATCCGTGACTTTATTCGGGTTTAAAGTGGATACAGAGCTTGGT